GTGGGCAAGCCTGCCTGGGGGCTCCAGGCTGACATGAAGGGCAGGGCCAGATGCCAAAGTGCCTGCAGGGCAGCAGGGGTGAGGCAGGGGCGTGTGGAGGCCGCTGAACCAGTTGGGCCCTGGATACCCACTGAGCCAACTTCTCCTCAACGCCTGTGGGGGAAGGCCAGCCCCAGTCATTCCAAGGGGAAGAACTCGGTGGGGCCATCACACCCACGCCCCTCAGCCTCAGGACACCATCCCCCGGGGCCCCCTGCAGCTCCAGGTGATGGACCGAAAAGCTGACAACATGGGCCAAAAGCCCAAAAAGGGAAGTGCCCAGGGATGAGGCCCAGGGTCCGTGGAAGGATGGACACAGATAAGGACAGCAGAAGACCGCTGAGTCCAGGCAAATCCACTTACACGCCCAAGGGCCCTCTGACGAGAGAAACGCTCTGACGAGGCTCCCTGGGCCGGGGCCAGCCCCCCACCCCCAGAAACTACTGGGCTCAGGGAAGAGCCCAATGAACGAGTAAATGAACTAAATGGCACCCCCCGCTGCCTCCAGCAAGGACATCCTGCTGCAAGGTCGAGGCGGTGCCTGCACCACCCAGCCCCAGCACGCTCCTGAGCCGACTCCTCATCACCTCATCCACACGCTCTCCCCGGCAGAGGAGGGATTGGGTATGGCTCCGGGTGCCAGAAAACAGCGACCTGCACTAACGTGACGAGGGCGGCTGTGAGCGGCGCTGCAGCCAGGGACACGGGGGACGTGGGCCCGGGGCTGCGGATCCCGCAGGTGGCATGTTGGCAGGCCAGCAGGGCTGGGGCCTCTCGGTAGATCTCAGCATCTGGCCTGGGCCGGGGCTGCCTGTCCAGCAGCGGCAGGAGCCCCCAGAGGCTCAGTGAGGACCCGGTGGGGGACTGTGGGGTGGAAGGACGACACCACACTGAGCCCCACAAGAAGGCGGAACTCAGCAGGGCACTGTCGGGAAGGAGGCGGCCACAGGTGGGTGGGCGGGGGTCCTGGCTCGTGGCTTTCCCAGGCACCGGCCCATTTCTGAAGGCTTTCAGCGCCCCCGGGATTTGGAATCTCAGCCAAGGTGTGGGTCCTGACCGAGGGCCAGGGGCGTGATGGGAAGGAAGTAAGCAGTTGCAGGGCCGCCGAGAAACAGCAGGCACCACTGGTTGCCCTTCTGGGAGAAGCCAACCTGCCGGGGCCCCGGGCCCCTGAAGGGGAGAAAGAGCTCCTGGGGCAGGCGCCGGTGGTCAGCGAGCACCATCTGCAGGCCAGGCAGCTGAACCAGGAGGCGGCTGCCCAGCCTTGCCTGTAAGGACCATGCCCAGGCACACAGGCCCATCCAGCACGGACTCTCCTGGGTCAAGTCCATGGTCACAAAGGGTACAGGAGTGGGAAGGCGGCGGCATATCTGAACACAGGCTTCTAGGGATGGGAGAGCCTGTCCTGCGCCCCCCACCACCCCCGCCGCCTTGACCTGGCAGGGGCACCATCCTCGGGGAAGACACAGCAGAGTGGAGAGGGACAAGGGTTCCCTTCTGGCTGGAACCGGGATGAGGTTCGGCTGCGTTCCTGGAGGACAGCCTCGGCCCTGCAGGGGCCTGCCTGTGAGTAGTCTCGGAGGCTAGAGCAGATGGGGAAGCTCAGCTCCCAAGTGTTCCTTCTGCCTGGGGCTGGGGGGATCCAGAGCCACGTTTCTGACAGACGCGTCCCCAAGCAGCAGGAAAGGGGGTCTGACAAACAGGCCCAACGACAACAGGAGGGGCTGTGTAGGCACGCATGTGCTCGGGTGTGCGAGACAGGAACAGACCGAGGGGGCCGGAGGACCGTACCGTCGGTCCAGGCCTCGTGGATGGAGGCCTTCTGCCGGAACTTCTCTGCCAGGTGGTCGAGCCGCTCCAGCCTGCGGATCTCGTTCAGCAGCCACTCCTCGTAGCCCTTCTCGGCCTGCTCCAGGTGCTGCCAGCCGTTGTTGATGTCCTGTGGGGACAGAGACAACCGGCTCACAAAGGGGAGCCGGGCCCACCGGCAGGGTGATACCTCCCTGAGGATCACTGATGAGAAGGCAGGCGGTGGAAACGGCTGGGGTCATGTCTGGCCCCTGCTCTGCTAGATCCATGTGCCTGGACGGGGCCCAGCACATGGCAGGTGCAATCCATTCTGTGCGGTACATGAGTAAGTGACAATGAAGGAACGCCATCGCCAGCGCTATGGGAGCCAGGTGACCGTGCAGTGAAGACCGTCCCTCTCCTGAAAAGGGGCCTTGAGCACCTGGAGGTCCCGGACTCATGGGGATCCAGATTCAAACATCACACAAAATAAGGTGTGGTTTGCGGATGGGTGTAGAATTCTAGGGCGTGATGGCGGGAGGAGGAACGTGGTGAAGAGTCAAGCGTACCTGCTACCACCCCTCCCCCCACAGGCTGGCTGGGGAGTCGGGCCACACGTCCCGGGCCCTGGCCGCCTGGCCGCGGGCACTCACCGAGACCATCTTGCCCTCGGAGGGCATGAAGGCGGGCCGGTTGCTGAGGCGCAGCTTCGTCTGCAGCGTGTTGAAGTTGATCTCCAGCTGGCACTTCTCCTGCACCTTGGGCGGCTTGTGGACGCGCCGGTAGTCCCGGAAGTCCTCCAGCTTCTGCTGCATCTCCTGGATGGTCTTCTGCGGCACCCGATCCTCCAGCCAGGGGATGGTGCGCCGGATCCACTCCAGGAGCTACAGGCCCAGCAGAAGCCTCAGGGCGCTGGGGGGGCCTGGCCCCGCTCACGGGCACGAGGGATATGGGTTTTCCAGCCTCCCCGCTCCCCGGGATCACCCCTGCTCCCCAGCCTGACTTCTCCAGGATGCCCACTGGGATCTTATGGCTGGGAACTACAGGGATATGTGCACCCCTCCGAACCACTGTGCTGTTCTCTGGTTATTTCCTGTTCATGCCTTTGCTCCCGGGCCTCCTTCTCATATCGAAGCGAGGCGGTCTCAACTCTAGCACCCCTCCCATCATATCCCACCACACGACCCCCCCGTTGCCATGTTCACTGAGCTTGGCACTGAGAGAGACATCTCACTGCTTCCTTGTTCAAGGGCCGCAAGCGCAAGCACCTCCAGGGCAGAGCCCACAGCATGCCGGGCTCATTCTAACGCAGCCAGCATGCCAGGCACAGGGCCTGGGATGGAAACAGTTTGACAGTAAAATTGGGAGGAAAAGTGATATTTTTATGAGCCACTCATATCTGTGATAGAGGACAGATACAAACAAATGAACTGGACATTCTAGAACAATCCTTGGAAAGGAAAATCAGTTCTTGTCCAGCATAGATATGCTTGAAGAAGTGGTTCCCAAATGCCAAACTCTGGCAAAATGGGAAAACCAAGCAAAAAGGGATCTATGCGCCTTTACATCTTGATGCATGGTGCCAGTGGCCCTTTCCTAGGAAGCAATGGGGTTCCAAAAGAGAACCTTTTAACTTTTTCTTGGTGTTAGAAAAGATGGTGGATGGTGGTAATAGATGGAAGCTTTTTAATTTTTGACAATTTTTAAGTAGTCTCTACCCCCAACGTGGGACTCGAACTCACAACCCCAAGATCAAGAGTCACATGCCTCAATGACTGAGCCAACCAGGTGCCCTGCAAGCTTTTTCTTTTAAAAATATCCTTAACTTGTCACTATAGGTTGGCTGTCAACTACTTTCCCAAATATTCCTGGTTCATGACATTCCGAAGTCTGGGAACCACCAGTCTCAAAGAGCGGTCAAACTACTGCTCTCCGGGAGCGTCAACCTTTTTTTTTCCCCCCAAATAGAAGTTTTTAAAATAAAGGAGGGAATCCAGAAGAGATGCACTAAACGCCCACGTTCCCAGTGGACTCTCCAGGTTCAGGCTCCGGAGTGGGGCTGTCTGGGTTTGAAGCCCAGCTCCGTGCTCTACTCGCGTGCCTGGTGCCTGACCCTCTGGGTCTCAGTTTCCCCACTCAGAAAAGGGGTGATGTGCGTTCCCTCTGCTCAGGGCTGCTGTGGAGACAGCAGATCCGGCTCAAGAAGTGCAGGCGTAGGGCCCGCCGTGACGAACCATAGTCCTGTCACCGGCTCAGTTCCAGGGTCTCCCTCCATCCCACAAAGCCAGGCAGCCCGTGCGGAGGGCATGGCAGGTTTTTAAAAACCTCCCCCGATAAGTCTGACGGGGTGGGGTGTTCAGGAAACTGTCCTTGAGTACCTCTGTAGGAACCCGAGCTCAAGACCGCAGGGGCCAGGGAGCATGGTGACACCGCGGGTCTGACCCTTAGCCTTGTGAAACTAGCCTGGAAAGGTCACACGCTGGCTTGGCCACACTCCAGTCTGCAACCTTATACCCTTATCTAGGAAGGGTCCCCACCGAACCTGCCCGCCCTCTGCAAGTGTCACATGACCTTCGGCCAAGGGTAACCAGAGGCAACCGAATCCTCCCGCTCCGGTGAGGCCACCAGACTTACGTCACTGGCCAGCCTCTCATAATCTTCCATGAGGTGCTCATTCTCCTGGTTGACGGCCAGCACCTTGCAGATCCGGTTGGCAGCAGTCTCAGCCTGGGGCAGGGGAAGCGCCACGGTCAGGGGTGCCTGGGGGCTGGTGACCCTCCCTCCTGACAGGCTCGTCCCCTGAAAGCTGGCCCATCCACAGCCCACACAGCACTCCCCGAAGAAGGAAGGAGAGAAGCACAGCTCCAGCAAGATGGCACACAGAGTAGCTGTGTCCTGATGGGTTTGCCGGCGTCCCCACAGCTTAATGCTAAGGCACCCCACCCCCGCCCCCGCCAGAAGGTTGGGCCCCTTGGCCTGGACCCCGGAGGTGCCGAAGGGGGTCAGGGAGCCCTGGACTATGGGGGAAATGGATTAACAGGCCCACGGAGAGGAAGGCCGAGGAGTGAGGCTGGGTGGGGTCCTCCGCTGGGCCAAGCCCTGAAGGAGTTTCCCCCTAGGTGGGAAGGTCTGTTGCGGAGAGGCCAAGCGCCAAAGGGCTGTGGCGGAAGGTGGAGGTGCTGGTGCCCCCAGAGAAGTCTGCGCACAGCCGCAAAGCACACGTGTCCCCTTCTTAATCCTCCCTTCGGAGGTGGGTGTGGAAGGTTCATTGGGCAGAAGTCACAATCCACGGGGCAGAAGGCAGCGGTGGAGACTGTGACCAGTCTCTGCTCAGAACTACGGGACAATGTGCTGCCTTGTCCTGCTGGGGGGAAATGCAAGGAGTGGAGAAGAAGGAGAGCGAGGGGGTGCCACACGGGGAGAGGAGAGGCCAGGTACCTTTCAGGAAGCACAGAAAGGGTCCAAGAGGAGAAGTTGAAACGGCAACAGAACAGGAACAGAAAGAGTGAGGAGGGTCTACGGAGTGGTGGGGAAGGAAAACAGAGAGGCTTGGGGATGGCTCCAGACCCACTGGCCACAGGCACCGACGCCCAGCCGCTCCCATCCACACTCTGCTTCTGGGCCAGGCGGGGAGGTGAGGGGGGGCCGGCTGGGACTGGCGTGCGCACACGCGCACACACCACGCATTACACCGCAGGGCACGCACCGACGGCCCAGGCACTGCTCCTCAGAGATAAGGCTCATGAGGGCCTCGGCCAATGAGTGCCGGAAGCAGAACTAAGGTCCCAGCTTGGGGGGTGGGGGTGTCGCGGAGGTCAGTCCCTGACCCCTGACTTGGAGAGACAACAGGCACCCCGTGCTCAGATCCACCCGTGAAGGCGGGAGCTGCTAGTCAGAGGTGCTCTGTTTCACTGCTGAATTCCTGGCACCCCACTCAGGGCTCGGTAGGTTTTAGGTACTCGGAGTTGATGAATGAAGGAGCAAACAAAGGAATGAGGAACAAATGCTTAGTGACCAGAAATAAACGATCAGGAGAGAACGGGCATACTTCCTGCGAGGTCTGGAGTTCGCCCTGCGCTTATAAAACAAAACAAATGCCAGAGAGCACTCCTCCAAAACGCTGGACTGAGTCTCTGAGGACAAAGAGCAGCACTAATAAAAGCATCGCGGGACTGCCTTGAGAAGTAAACACAGGCTGGGGAAGCTGGACCCACAGCCAGAGAACCCTGAGCACGGCACGTCCCTGGTGAGCAGGCAGCTCCCAGTAGCCTGGCCTTTCCTTCCTCTCTCACAAGAGGGGCCCAGCTGACTCAAACCCCCAAATGCTCTGGCCTGAGCTCTCCTGCCACTATCTGCTGCCACAAATCCCTCAAGGCCTCCTAGCCTCCACCACGGTGGAGGCCAGTGCTACGCCCACAAGGGCAGCTTGGGCAGGAGAGGGTGACGCGGTGGGCAGTGAGGCCGGCTTGGGCCTGCGGAGCGGTGAGTCCAGTGGCAAACATGCTGCTAGTTGGGTTGGGTCTGAGTCCAAGAATCTTCCGCCACTGCCCGCCCACCCCCCCCCCGCCCCAGCAGAACTCTGCAAACACAAGCCCAGCCACACACTGGGTGGGCGGGGAGAGGCCACAGGGCTCGAAGGACCACGGTGGGCAGGGCACGCCCCGCAGGCCGCTCCGACCACCCGATCTCTGACTGAGCACTTACAGGGCTGGGCACTATTCTAAACGAAACCCTTCACCTACTTGAGTTCATTTCATCCTCGGGACAATCCTGAGACAGGAACGGGTAGGATCCCCGTTTTACAGATGGGGAGACTGAGGGGAAGGGACTCATCTGAGGTCACACTGCTGAGAGGTGACAGAGCAGGGACCAGGGCAGATGGCAAACAGAGGGCCCCTGCTGGCCCCGAGGAAGGTGCTCCACAGGAGACAGCAGGCACAGTCCCGGTCCTGTGACTCTGGGAACAGCTCCCCACCTCTCTGAACTCTGGTTTCCTCCTTTGTCACAAGAAGGTAACGGCACCCACCCTCCTGGGGCGTGTCCGGGACTGTCCTCGAACCTGTGCACGTGGACTTGTTGGAGGACTGCCCAGCATGTAGTAAGTGCTCAATTAACGAGAGCTTGTTTCTCCTCCCCTGCCTTGCCCACTTCTAACTGGTGACATGCAATCAGGTCACTGGGAGTTACACTGCTGCCCAAGAGACCGGGAGGCAGGTGGAGGGGACAAAGGTGCCCAGGCCTCCAGGCAGGGTCTCTCTCCCCAGGGCCAGCCGGGCACCTTCTTGTGGAAGCGGACCACTGCCACTGGGCACAGACATCCCTGAGTGCGTTGTGTCCGCGGCCCTGCTGGGGATGGGGGCCCGGCAGGCTGCGTGGGCGGGGTCGGCAGGTGCAGGCCCAGAGAGGATTGAACCTGCTTTCCTGCGGCGTCCGGGAGGGGAAGGAGCCGTGAAGAGGGCAGGAAAGGCCAGTGCTCCCCAGTGAGAGCACGCAGCCAGGCCAGCGGGCAAGCGGCCAGGCGTGGGTCACAGGAAGAAGGGCGGGGCGACCAGCGGCCAGGAGCACAGGTGCCCAGTGCAGCTCTGAGACACCGGGACACCACCACCGTCCTCACGGGGTGGGCTGCGTTCACAGAGGATAGCCGTGGTGTGCTGGCACCGGGAGGCCACGGTCACGAGAACCGTCCATCCTCACGCCGGGGCGGCCTGCGGGGTGGCCTGGCCAGGGCCCCAACCACAAATGGGTGGCGGGGACATGAGGGGGACAGCGAGGGCACGGCTCCAGCCACAGAAGAGAGGGGCGCTCCCGCCCCAGCTCACCTTTTGAGCCCCCGAGAAAGCGTGGTAGAAGCAGGACACGTAAGTCATGATGGCTTTCTCATCTGGCCTCAGAGTGCCTACAATATCTGCGCAGAGAGAGAGAGAAAGAGAGAGAGAGAGGCAGGAGAGAGTGACAGCTGCAGGGAGGGCGGCCGGGGCCGGGCCCGAGGCTCATGCGGGAGGAATAGCGCTTGCTCTGGACTGGAAGCCAAACCCCGGCTCCGGCGGCGTGGGCACGTTTCGCGGGGGTTTTGTAGGGCAAAGGGGCAAGTCCAAATCAGTGAGTCCCTCTTCTAACCAGAGCTGGCTCTCGGACACTGGCTACTGGCTTTGGAGAAGAAGCCTTGTGCGGGGCCCGAAGGGTAAAGGCTAACCAATCTCTCTGAAAACATCAGTGAGATCATGTCTTACATAACCAGCTACCACCCCAAGACAGACCGCCAAATGGTCTCCAGGGGCCCTGAGAATAGAACCCCTGATCCCTCACTACTGTGATTCTACACATCTTGGCCCTGTTACCATCTCCAACCTCATTTTTCTCCTCTCGGCTATTCCTTGAATATGCCAAGCTCATTTCTGCTGCCAGACCTTTGCACCTTGCTCTACCATCTGCCTGGGACGCTGTCCCTACTGATCTTCATCCAGCAGCTCCTGCTCATCATGGCAGGTGCCTGCAGAAGTCTCCCGCCGCAGCCCCCAGCTGAAGCAGCACCCCGGCATCTGTCCCCCACCATCCTGCCCCATGTTCTCTACTGTGCTCGTCACCACGTGAAACAACTTGATCTGTGGCCACGCCTGTCGCCTGTCTCGCCCACTGGCATGTCAGCTCCATGAGATCAGGGATCCTGCCTTAGTCCCTACTGTATGCCCCATGCCTAGAACAGAGTCTGGCCCAGACTGGGCACTCAACAGACACCGTGAGCAAAGACTACAACATGGGCAGGGCCGCCTGGAGTCGGGGGGGGCGGCTTCCAGTCGGAGAGAGGCCACTGCCGTCTGCAAGAGAAATGAGGTGAGCGTGGGAGGCGAGAGGCAGCAGCGGCATTGGGCAGTGGCGGCGAGGTGGGCCTGCCTGGCCCTGCCCGGTACCTTCTGCGCTCCCGAAAAGGCATGGTAGAAGCTGGACACATAGGTCATTATGGCCTTCTCGTCGGGCCGGGCCGTGTTCACGATGTCTGTAAGTGAACGACAAGGGTTAAACCGCCCAAGTAGGGGCGGGCGGGGGTGGGGTGGGGGGTTGCTCACTGGGATCCAAAGTCTCCCAAGGCCACAGGCATCCCAGGAGAAGGACCCTCAGAATGGATTCAGTGACCCCTGGTGACTCCAGTGGGCTTGTCCACACCCTCGGCCCCTCCATCCCCTGTGGTCTCTAGAAAGGCCAAGGCTGTGGGAACTGGATTAGAATGAGGCCACTTCCTCTTTCTGAGAATGGCCTCAAGGGACTGCTGAACAGTCAGCCCCAGGGGCCACCAGAGGCCAGAGCCATGGGTCCTGGTTGGGGGCAGTGCACGGCTGGGAAATGGAGCAAAGCCGGAAAAGGAAAAAACAAACACTCCCCTTTTATGGGCTCCAGACTCTGAGCCTGGGGCAAGCAGGGAAGGCAGCCGCCTTAGCTGTCTGCAGGAGCCAGCCCTCCCTGGCCACCTGGCCTGCCGACCCCGAGACAGGGGCAGGACTCGGGCAGGACTCAGGCAGGGCTCTGGCAGGACACTTATGCGGCCCCAGAACCCATCTTCTTCAAGGCCCTCCTTTCCCGGCTTGCCCATCCCTCCCTGAGCCTGCCTCGTCTGCTCAGGCTGCTCCCACTCTGGCTCAGGGGCAGGACCGCTGTCCCTGGTTCAACCAGCTTCATTCAGCCTTCTCACTGGCACGGCCAGCTCCCTCAAGTTACCGTAAGACTTGCCCGCAGAACAGGGCGGTGACGGAACAAAAGGGATGTACTTACCCTCCGCATCCAACATCTTGGGGATGTCTAGGTATTTCTCGGCCACTTCGAAGGCATTGTTCAGGTTGGTGACAGGGTCATCCTGGGGGAAAGAGGAAGAACTGTCAGGGGCAGGACTGGAAAGCGTTCTTCAGGCAGTTCTCAGGCCCCTGTGCTGCGGTGGGGACTGGACGGGGGGGGACACCCAGATAGTTGATTCCCACCCAAAGGAAGGCCTCTGGAAATCTTCATGGGGCAAACTGTCGACTTTTTCTCCTGAGAAAATGCGGCTGGGCTCTTTTCTTACACTTTCCAGCCCTCCAGACCCCAGATTAAGACCTCCGTCCTGAAACCTGGAAAGTGGGGTCCAGACCAGGCACTGGGGGCGGGGGGGTGACGGGGAGGGGGTAAACCGAGAGCTTCTGAGGTCTAGCCTTCCCGAAGCATCCCTTCACACTGTTTCCCCACTGTCCCAGAATTCAAGACCCTCCCTCATGTGCCTTAGTCCATGTCCAGCTAGAGCCCAATCCAATTGCTCAGTGGGGCTTAAACAGGTCAAGTGCAGGCTTGTGCCCCACCCCCCCAGGGGCCCTTCCCCGACCATGCCAGCTCAGGTGCATTATCCATCCTCCGACTCGTCTGGCCCTATCCCCTTCCCACCCCCATTCAGCCTGAGTGCACGTGCATGGCCTTGTGGGGCAGGTTTGCTCCGGACACATTATCCTGCCTTCTCCACTGGCTGGGAGCTCCTAGAGGGCAGGGACTTGGTCTTACAGGACCACAAGCTTTGTACAGGCATATCAGAACAGTTCCCCCTACACGGGAAACACCTGCCAGTGGTGATGGTCTGGAATTCCTTACCCCTCTTCTCCGTTAGGTGGAGAGAAAATGCTTCTAGAAGCTAAAAGGTTAAGGTAGGGGAGCTGGAAGGCATGGCTGGCCAGGCCCTAAAATAACCGTGGGCAGTTGCAATGCCCATAAAGGGAGAAGGGGACAGTCCCCAAGGGGAGCGAGGGAGGTCAGAACCAGCCACGGAGCCTAGCCTGCCTATCTGAGCGCAGAATCCAGCTGAGGACGCCAGCTATGGACGGGCTTGGGGGAGGTGACCCAGCATCAGGGGCAGGGTCAGACTCTGTGGATCTCTGGGCCACTGAGGGCAAGAGCAAGAAGCAAACCTTTCTCAGCTTGTCATACTCGATCAGCTCTGGTCGGTGCCGGTGGATCAGTGCATTGAAGGCAAGACCGTCCTTCCAGCTGGGGATGGAAAGGAGAAGGTGAACAGGAGGGCCCTCTCACCATCCAACGAGCGCTGGTGGCCCGGACGCCCACGGGAAGGACTAATTCCCATTTATCGGGGTAGGGGGTGTGCCGGGCACTGCACGCAGACAGCAGAGCGGAGCGGCTGGAGGTGGACGGACTGCGGTGAAATCCTGGCTCTCACTTGCTGTCAGCGCGACCTTGGGCAAGTCTCATCACCTCCTGCTCTCTCAGTTTCCGTGTCTGTAAAATGGGGTAGTAACAGTACCTACGGCCTACTGGGGGGTTGTGAGGATTAAAGGAGGGAATAGTTGTCAACACTTCAACCAGCCCCTGACACGTGACAAGTCCTTTATGATCGAGGGCTGGCCTCTGGGACAGCGTGACCCCCCTGAACGGGACAGCCTGTGGCGGAGGGAGACGGGCCCATTGCGGGCTTTCCGCCTCGGGGCAGCGAGGGAAGGAGACAGGCTGCGGCACTCTGGCCGGGCGCTCACCTGATGTGGAAGTTCTGCACGTTGACGTTCTTATACGGGGCAGTCTTCCTCTGACACCACAGGAGTAGCCCTTCCTTGGCAGAGGTCTCTGAGGAACACACGGGGGCGATGAGCACGGGATCAAAGCCCAACGCTGAGCACCCAGCCCCAGGCCGTGATACTCTGGGCTCGAGCACAGGAGTCGGACGGAGGGCAGCACAGCTGGGAGTAAGAGCTGCGCCTGCTCCAGATGCCGCAGGCGTCCGCTGGTCCTGAGCACCGGCCCGCACACACGCACAGCCCTGAGACGCCACCTGCCCAGGGTCCTCCCGGGAAGTGACAGTGCCAGGGCCGCACCAGGACCTGCGACCACGCCATGCTTCTGACCACACAGCCTATGCCTTTATCTGCCAGAACACACGGCCAAACAAGCCCCTGACGCTGGCCTCGGCCTCTCCTGAACAGTGAAGAATCAGCAGAGGGTCAGGAGTGCCGGGCCCGGCCCGCTCGGCGGCGGCCTCAGCGAAGTGGAGTGGGAAGGGCCCAGGTTGTCTGTTCCCCAGGGACAGTGTGGGGGTGCTGGGGGCAGGGGAAACGTCTGTGCCGGTCACTGCTGTGGCCTACTGCAGGAATCCCCGCCGCGTGCTGGCACACCCAAGTGTTTGGAGGGGAAGTGAAGCAGCTCACTCCTGGCTGGCCTGGACTGGCCCTCGGGTCATGGAGGCGAAGGTCGGAGGGTGGGGGTGTCCAGCGGAAACACATAGGTACTGATGTGCGGGAGAACCAGGCCAGCCTGACTCCGTCACTACTTTGCTCTGTGACTCAGATTCCTCGACTGTAAAATGGGGCCAATCGTGCCCATTTGACGAGGATCGGGTGAGGGTCCACGGAGATGGAGACCACGGGAGCTGAAGGTTCTGGGTGGATACCAGAGCTGGGCAGCTGCTAGGGCCCCCCTCACCTGCAGCCTGGGCCAGCAACTCACTAACCACTCTTGCACAGGGCCGGGCCCTGGGAGGGATGCTGGGAAACAGGGCAGAGCCTCAAGCAGGAAGACAAAACCCCAACATTATAATCTAACTCGCCCCAACCTGGGTGGAAGCAGGGCAGGGAAGAAAGGCTGTCCTCTGCCAGTTCGCAGGCTCTCACCTTCCACAGAGATGTCCTGGATGGCGAACCGGAGGATGATGGTCCAGATCATTCCCAAGGTCATCTTTGCATTGCCGTCCACAATCTCTGCATGCAGAGAAGGGGGCAGAGGATGAGAAGGTTGTTAAAACCAGAGGGGACTCCTGCTGGCTGTGTAGAGATGAGCTCTGATCGTCCGACGGGAGCTACCCAGGCCTGTGGACCACCCTCGCTGGGAGATGTCGCCTGAATGCTGGGATGCACTGTCCCCAGAGCCTTCTGCCGCCTGGCACCTGCGGGCCTCTTCCCACCTGGCCAGCTCAAGCCCGCTCCTCCCTGAGGCCCGTCCCCAGCGTGGGGCTGGCCTTCCCAGCTGTCCACCTGCGCCTCCCTCACGCTATTACGGGCACGTCTCCCCGCCGTGCTGTGCTGTCTGTTGATAATCTTGTCCGCTTCCCTCCACCCTTGTCCGGGCCACCGTGGTCGCCCCCGAGCTGGACACCCCGCCACCTCTGCCCCGTGCGACCCACCTGCACCCAGCTGCCAGGGCGCTCACATTAAAAGACGCATCAGATGTGTGCTGCTCGCCTGCTTAAGCCCTCGCACATCTCAGACGAAACCTGCGCTCCCGAATCCCACTCACGAGCCCCGCCCTGGGGGACCAGCCGCTGGGTCCCTTTGGCAAGCCAGGTTCCTCCTTGCTGGAAGGACCTCACACCTTCCGTCTGCCCACGAAGTGCACCCCTTGGCCCTTCCCTCAGATGGCCGTCCTTCCCATCCTGGAAGCCTCTGCCGTCACCTCCCCCGGGATGGCTTCCCCCACTGCCCATCTGCAGGGACTGGCCCGGTGCCTCTCCCCGGCAGCCCGCTCTCCCCCTCACACACTGACCACCATTTGTAACCACGCGTTTGCTGGTTTCCTTGCTCGCGGCCTGCCTTCGTGAGCACCGCTGTGTCCCCAGCCCCCGCCCTTGTGGAAGCTACGAGGCTGCAGGACAGGGACAGCAGGGACGCAGGCCCAGCTGGTAAGGCACACACTTCCTTAACTAACCAAAAACCCGCTATGGTCTCCAACTTCTGGGAGTGAGAGAGAAGGGTCTGCACCACACATTCTTCAGCTCTGGGGGCTTAGAGAGAAGTCTTCTCTGCAACACTCAGGGCACCACGTGTCTCATGCTGAATAAGAGAAGTGAGGGCAAGCGGCCTCATCCCTGAGTCCGCCGGCCAAACGGGCCACGGCAGTCCTCTGAAAGCCTTCTGCTCTCCCTGCCCCCCGAGATCTCAGCACAGCAGGTGCG